AAAAAAAAAAAAAAAAAAAGTTAATTTTTCATAGAGAGAGAACCTGAAAATAGGACCATAGCGGTTAGCAAGAATAGAGAACAAGTCAGGTCCATACTTAGCCAGCAAAGGGAGGTGTCCAACAACAGGCATTGCTGGAGGCCCAGGAACTTTCCTCACGGCCCAATAAGGCTTGTAAAAGTACCACAATGCCCCTGCGACCACAGCCAAAATTGTGAATGTTGTTGAGGTCATCACAGGTGAGTTGTTGATCACTGCAAAAATCTCCATTATTTTAGGCGTGTAGCCTCCTTCTTCTTCGTACCAAAAAAAAAAGAGAGGGACAATAGCAAGAGAGTACTACTGATATATATATACTATCTTTATATCTTTAACTGTTAAAATGAGTGTTGAAATTTTAATGGGTATATATATAGGAAATTGGGCATATTATTTTATATTTGCTGGGGGTTATTATTTGTCCTTTTCTTTCTTGTTGATGAATAATGATGATAATATAAGGCCAAATGGTAGGGGCCTAAATGTATAATTTTTGGGGGGCCATTTTTTTTCCCCATAATTATAGGCCTTTTTTTTACTGTGTTTTTTTCTCTAGTTATGTGGTTGTGTGGAGTTTGACATTTATCCAACATTTGCATTGTATATATTGAAAAGTTACTTGATGATGTATGAAACGGGGAAAAACAGGCGCGGTTCTACGCAGATAAAGCGCATCACAACATGAAAAGCTCATATGAAACTCAAGTGAGGTTCCATCTCAATTCATCTGCATCACAAGAGGAAAAGCCCAGATAAAGCTCAAGTGAGGTTCCATCCCAAAATCGGGTGCAGTCCCACGCAAATGAAACGCATCACAACAGGAAAAGTCCAGATGAAGCTCAAGTGAGGTTCAATACCAAAACTAATTGGTGGAAGAGTAGCCCACTAATTAGACTTATAAATTAGGTCTATTTTTTCTATATAAACGAAGTGGGATAACTCACAAGTAAATATTCTAATGGATGAGTTCATTTATAGTTATAATTATTTAGTCGCATCAAATTTTTGAGTTCTCCATTTATACAATCTCCAATGGAGACTTAATAAAAGAGATTTTGCACTTCTATGTCACATGATTATTGTATTTGTTTGTATACTATAAATCTTCCAGCCGATTTAAGCACAAGTTAATGCGTCCACGAGTATGATATACGACAAATTACTATACAATATGTGATGAATATATATGGTTAAAATTACGAAATATTAATTAACACGTAGTTTGTAGGCATGAATTAATGTACCTAAGTTGGGTAGGTGAGAAATTTCGATTTAAATTGCCTAGAAGCATTATTTGTCATTTGGTCGTTTTTAACACAAACATGAAATATTTATTAATAAAGCATCATGACAAAGTATATATTTTTATGGTCCATATATTCCACAAAGAATCACTTATACAAGCTAGCTTTATGGCATAGAGTGAGATAATTAGTACAATTTAAAAAAATAATAATAAAAAAAATAAATAGCTTTGTTTTTTTCTGCATTAATGAAAAAAAAATCAATGATTTGGAGGGCTGCAAACGATTCGAGCGGCTCGTGGCGCTCGAGCCAAAGTTTGACTCGAACTCGAGTTTGACCGAACTCGAGTCGAGCTCGAGCCAATATTTTGCCTTGTCAAGCGATAAATTACTAAAATACCCATTGTTATATATATTAGCAATTGGTGCTTAATGATAATTTTACATTTTCACTTAAAATTTTTCAAGCTGAACTCGAGTCGAGCTCGAGCATTTTGATATCGAGCTCGAGTTATTGTAATTTTTTATCGAGTTGAGCTCGAGCAGTTAAAAAAACTCAATCCTGCTCGATAAGGCCAATGTTCGACTCGGCTCGGCTTGACTCGGCTAATTGGCAGCCAAGGCATGACAATGGAATATTCCTTATATTCTTTGAAATTCGTAATGTTGAATATCGACTAAGAGTAATGTTCTCCTACCAACGGTGGTCGCATTTTAATATGTCCACCGCTTATGTGGCATGCACACATTAGTAATGTATTTTTTTGAACATGTTAACATCACTAATGTGTGCATGCCACATAAGTGGTGGACATATTAACATGTGTTCACCGTAGGTAGGTGAACATTATTGTATGATGTATCGACTAAATACCTAAAACAAATCATTCTCCTTTTGGAATATATGCATGCAACACGGCCAATAGATATTAGGCATATAATGGAGCAATAACAAAGAACATGTTACATTTTATGTTGGACTACGTGTTTATATTAATGCCATAAATATTGAATAAGGGCATATTCTATATAATTCAGACTTTTTTAAATGGATAACTGTGTAGTTAGGCTTGATTGGTAACCAAAATAAATTAGTTTATAGCTTATTTAATTAGTTTGTGAGCTTTCTGTATTCAAATAAATTTTGTTTGGTTGGACTAGTTTTTACAACTTATAGCTTATGACTTATAGCTGAAAACCTAGATTATATGATGGAAGTGTTTGGTAATATTAACTGATAAACTAGCTGAAATAAAAATTTCAATAAACTTATTTGAAAAGTTGCTGAAAAAAAAAACTTATGAGATAAGCTCGGGATTTTCAAAAGTGTTCGTCCTACCAAACGAAACTTATTTAAATATATAAAACTTATAACTTAGTCAAATAAACTATATACTAACTTATTTTTCTATCAAACATAGCCTAATAAAAGTTAGCTTACAACTATCAATTATTTTTACTAAACATGAGATTAGTGTGGAATAAGGACATTGCTTTTGACATATATGTAGGTTTCAATGGATTGTGTCAACTCTAGCAAAAGTGAATACTGAGGTAACTGGGCCAAGCTAAGAAGTTGGGTTAAGCCAAAATTTGCTTGCTCTTCATTTTGCAGGCCTATACGTAGGCCCTATATAAGGAAAGTATAGTCTGGCCGATTGGGTCGACACAATGGGCTTACGACTAAAAATGCTACACACTTCGTTTTGGTCTTGTAGGCTTCTTCATATACGTGTGAACCTACTCTTAGATTTGGGCCTATTACCCTAATTTCTTTCACAAAGTTTTAACAGACACGATTAGTAAAAACTGAAGCCCACTTCTTGGTTGGGCTTTTATCCATGATTTTAGTAAAACTTTTGTTCATGCGTCAAAATACTCTACCATGATTACTTACTTTTATCATCTATTATTGAGTGGACATCTAATATTAATAGGGTAGGTGATTATGAGTGGCCTACACGAGTAGTAACAAAGTGTAACCGAGCCAAATCGAACTCGAGCCGTTAACGAGCTTGTAATCGAGTTCGAACTCAGCTTGTTTATCAACATTAACGAGTCAAGCTGTCAAATAAAGAGACTTCAGAAATCTGATGGCATCGAGTGTCCTATTTTGTATGAATCAGATTCACTTAGTCAAAGATTCATAAAAAACAAGGAATAAGAATCATAAACCACATTACACCACAAAATACTTGCACGGTTGGTTGCAAAGAAAGCATTGTGGTACACGAAAACAATGGAATGTGACGACCAGAGGACATATTCGTCATTTAACCACCAAAAGTTATTCCACATATGATGGTGCTCATTGCATTTGATGACATAACAAAGTTCACTTTCAATAAATTTAGGTATTAAAGAAAAGGGTTAATTGCTATTTAAACCTTTACCTTTTCGCGTTTGACAATTTAATCCAAACTTTTAGATAAATGCAATATAATCCTGACTTTGACTTACTTTTGCATAACGAGCTTAATTTATGTCGTAGATTCAAAAAATGTCAACGTGTTCGGCTGCTTATATTCACGTTGGATTTTCAGTTTGATGAGTGGCGAACTTTTGTGACTGAAAATTTGTGTGGCGATGACATGACTCATATGTGGAATTAATAAGTTAGGAAAAAAATTAAAAAATCCACCTCAATTAAAATTTTGAAAATGTACCCTAGATTAACATGGAGATAAGCAGCCGGACACGCTGACATCTTTTGAATATCCGACAAAATTAAGTTTGTTTTGCAAAGTAAGTCAAAGTCAGGATTATATTGCAATTATCCAAAAGTTTGGATTAAATTGCCAAACGCGAAAAAATAAAGGTTTAAATAGCAATTAACCCTAAAAAAAAAAACACCCGCTCTATTCAACACATTTGAAAAAATGAGTATTAATTTCTTAATATTTTTAAATATATTTAATATTTCATGTGATAAAATGCATATATTTATAACATTATTAATTAGACATTTAGATAGTTTAAAATATTTTCAAATATTTAAACTGATCAATAAAATTAACTAATGCATATCCATTGTATTTTAAATATATATTTTTAATTTATATAAAAAATAAGTTTAAATATATTAATATTTTCTTAAAAAAAATATGGACTAGTCCAAGGTTGTTGGCCTGTACGCCAACATCTGGCTCATTCCAGTGAACTGAACTGATTAACCAGTTGATTTCTGGTCCAACCGGTTTTATCGTCATTTCTATTCCGATTATGAAAAACTTGTAAATAATACGAATTAAAAAGTTACCATGGAATTTGGAGTAGGATTTCATACATGGTTTTTCTTTTAAATCTCATCAAATCTTAAAAAGTGTTAACAAATCCTAATTTTCAAATAAGTTAAATACATCAGGATTTTCCGAACTTTTTAAAGTTTCAAATAAATATACCTCAAAACTTTCAAAAATCTTGAAAAAAGTCTAAATTAAATACATTATAATCTCTAAAGTCCTAAAAACTCTTTAAGAATTCCAAACGAATACACCCTACAAAGTTAAGTATTAGTGATTTAAAATAATTCATGTAAATCTTGATTTTTATACATGGATTCTTGGAATTATAAAACGCTTGCCTAATTTAAAATTATTAAAGTAAAAAGATTATTTATTATATTTTAAAACATTTAGTTGAAAGTATAATCACATCGAGGTTTTATTTATGGCCAATAGCCATGGAATGATAATTCAATCGTCACTATATGTTTTAATGTGATGATTTCTTTTAGAAAATGATCAAATTGCAGTACAAATCTTAATTTTAACATATACTAATTGTAATAATTGTTACAAATAAACTTACTCCTCGAAATAGGTATTGGTCATGTTCCGAGCCTTATTAGAGTGTTCTTGCGTATATAAATCAATTTGAGTTTTGATTGATTTTTATATATTTTTTTATTTTTTTGTTAATTATTAGAGTTAATTTTGAAGAAGCTGGTTG